GCAGAGACATTACTTTGCCAACAAAGGTCCATCTAGTCAAGCCTATGGTTTTTCCAGTGGTCATGTATGGATGTGAGAGTTGGACTGTGAAGAAAGCTGAGAGCCGAAAAATTGATGCTTTTGAACTGTGGTGTTGGAGAAGACTCTTGACAGTCCCTTGGACTGGAGATCCAACCAGTCCATCCTAAAGGAGATCAGTCCTGGATGTTCATTGGAAGGACTGATGCTGAAACTCTAGTACTTTGGCCACCTCATGCGAAGAGTTGACTCATTGGAAAAGACCCTGATGCTGGGAGGGATTGGGGGCAGGAGGAGAAGGGGCTGACAGAGGATGAGATGGCTGGATAGCATCTCCGACTCGATGGACGTGAGTTTGAGTAAACTCCGGGAGTTGGTGATGGACAGGGAGGCCTGGCGTACAGTGATTCATGGGGTCATAAAGAGTCAGACATGACTGAGTGATTGAACTGAACTGAACAGAAGCAATATAACTACTTAACATTTTAGCTGTGATTGACAATTTTTTTCATTTATTTTTATTAGTTGGAGGCTAATTACTTTACAATATGTGATTAACAATTAAACACACATCATTCAGATAATCATGACTTAAGTTCTGGGCATGCTCCTCAAGAGGTCATGAACATTAAGTGTCACTGAAAGTCCAAATCAAAATTTCAGAAATTATCATTTCTTGTAAAGAGAAATATTCTGTTTCTCTCATCTCACTGTTTTCCTCCAGAATAAACAGAAGCAAACAAACATCATAAACTTTAAGTTTAATGTTACAGACTAGAGCAAGCATCTTTGGAAGACACTTGAAAGTGAAACTGTTGATCCCTCAGTGATATTCAACTCTGTGCAACCCCATGGACTGTAGCCAGCCAGGCTCCTCTGCCCATGGAATTCTCCAGGCAAGAATACTGGACTGGGTAGCCATTCCCTTCTCCAGGGGATCTTCCTGACACAGGGATAGAACCCAGGTTTCTGCCTTGCAGGCAGATTCTTTACCATCTGTGCCACCAGTGAAGCCCAAGAAGACACTTGGTTTAACATTTTTTTTTTTAATGTAGTAGTATACACATATGTAACTTGGTACACTTTGTAGATGACTAGTTTAACATATAATAATGTTATAGCTTATTTGGACAGTTGTAAATTTGCTAATCTAATTTCATAATCCAATTCATCAGTTGCTCAGTGGTGTCCGACTCTTTGAGACTCCATGGACTGCAGCACCCCAGGCCTCCCTGTCTATCACCAACTCCCAGAGTTTACTCAAACTCATGTCCATTGAGTCGGTGATGCCATCCAACCATCTCATCCTCTGTCATCCCCTTCTCCTCCAGCCCCCAATCCCTCCCAACATCAGGGTCTTTTCAAATGACTCAGCTCTTCACATCAGGTGGCCAAAGTATTGGAGTTTCAGCTTCAACATCAGTCCTTCCAATGAACATTCAGGACTGATTTCCTTTAGGATGGACTGGTTGGATCTCCTTGTAGTCCAAGGGACTCTCAAGAGTCTTCTCCAACACCACAGTTCAAAAGCATCAATTCTTTAGTGCTCAACTTTCTTTATAGTCCAACTCTCACATCCATACATGACCACTGGAAAAAGCATAGCCTTGACCAGATGGACCTTTGTTGGCAAAGTAATGTTTCTGCTTTTTAATATGTTGTCTAGTTTGGTCATAACTTTCCTTCCAAGGAGTAAGCATCTTTTAGTTTCATGGCTGCAATCGCCATCTGCAGTGATTTTGGAGCCCAAAAAAATAAAGTCAGCCAGTTTCCACTGTTTCTCCATCTACTTGCCATGAAGTGATGGGACCAGATGCCATGATCTTAGTTTTCTGAATGTTGAGCTTTAAGCCAACTTTTTCACTCTCCTCTTTCACTTTCATCAAGAGGCTCTTTAGTTCTTCACTTTCCGCCATAAGGGTGGTGTCATCTGCATATCTGAGGTTATTGATAATTCTCCCAGCAATCTTGATTCCAGCTTGTGCTTCTACCAGCCCAGCATTTCTCATGATGTACTCTGCATATAAGTTAAATAAGTAGGGTGACAATATACAGCCTTGACGTACTCCTTTTCCTATTTGGAACCAGTACTGTTGTTCCATGTCCAGTTCTAACTGTTGCTTCCTGACCTGCATACAGGTTTCTCAAGAGGTAGGTCAGGTGGTCTGGTATTCCCATCTCTTTCAGAATTTTCCACAGTTTATTGTGATCCACACAGTCAAAGGCTTTGGCATAGTCAATAAAGCAGAAATAGATGTCTTTCTGGAACTCTCTTGCTTTTTCAATGATCCAATGGCCATTTGATCTCTGGTTCCTCCAGTTCATAATCTAATCTAATTTAATAATCTAAAATCATTGCTATGAAATATGGAGGATCCAGTAAATCTAACAGATCTGATTCTGTATATTCAAAGCGAGCATCTTGGGACTTATCTGCCTTCACCTCATTGTGGGAAGAACAGAGTAGTGGCTATGAGGTTTTGAACCTTGACCAGCTCGATTCAAACCCCTGAGTTATTCTGGGCTCTGGTAGGTTACTCTCCAGGATTCTTATTTCTTCCCTGTAAAACAGGTAATGATGGCAGATATCTGGCAGGACTGAGAGGAAGATTTTAAAATCACAGTGATACAAGCAAAGCACTTAAAAATAAATAAAACAAACAGATTTTAGCAAATGTGCAAGGGTGCAGGCAGTCTGACTGCAAGGACACTTTTTAGATATTTATTTATTTATTTGGCTGTGCCAGGTCTTAATTGTGGAATGCGGGATCTCGTACCCTGACCAGGGATTGAACCAGAGGCCCCCTGCCTTGGGTGTGCAGTCTTAGACGCTGGACCACCAGGGAAGTTCCTGCAAGAGAATTTTATACAGCAGTTTTGTGTAAGCACTCAGGTAGTTCAATTAAACTAGCAAAAGGAAACAGAAAGGCTTTGTTAACAATAGTAAGTAGATGGAATCCTAAGCAAACAAAATAAATTCCATTGCTTTCTTTACCTTTTCACTTTTATCCCATCGGAATTCTAGGTACACTCTAGACCAGGAATGGCCACCAGGCTCTATCTTTTAGCCAACGCTTTTCAGTGGGGGGTGATGCTCTGGAAAAAGGTTGAAAGAATTCCTGGGGTTCATCTGGGGGCATTGGGAAGGTGTCCGGGCAGTTACTGAGGTCGCTTCAGGAACAGGAGAAGCCACTGCAGCTGCCACAGAGCCACTGTTCCTTGTCCTTATAATTCCAAAATGGCTTGCCGGGACCAGGAAATAGGCAGCCATGGGCTGGAACAGTGGAACCGAGGGCCAGGGTGCCCACTGGCCACTTCCCTTACCTCCCTCCCCTCTGCCTGAACCATGAGCACAGCCCAATCCCCACCCACCTTAAGCAGGTCCTATTTCAAGGGAACCAAGGAGCAGGACCAGAGAGGAGCTGCTCCCCAGCCTCCTCCGCAGGCACAGGTCCAGGCTTCAGGACGCAGGTGGAAGAAGCACCTGTAGGGAGCCCCCCGGGCCAGCACACAGGAGTAGAGATCAAGGTTGGTGAGCCACCTGCCTGGGGTCCTTCCCGTCAGCTCAGCCCCCGTGGGGGAGGACAGAACAAGTGGCCAGGAGGGGGATGCACTGGCCGCTTGCTCCTGCTAATGCAGAAATAACATTTTTCTCAAAGATAGGAGGGAGAAAATTACTTTCCACCCCTCATCCCAGGCTTTCCCAAAGCCTCTGTCCCTGGATCCCAGGAGGCCTTCCGAGGGGTTCACCTGGGATCCCCTGAGCAAACTCCAGCTCTATCCCTCCCTGCAGGGGGCCAGGCCGCCACCTCCACCCATCTAAGCAAGTCCCCAGGGAACACAGAGGTGTTGCCAGTGTGGGCCCAGATCCCCAGGAAGTTGGGCCGAGCTCTTTGCCCAGGGTCTTACCCCAAGCTCAGGTCCCCGCTGTTCGCTGGAAGTATTTTGAAAAGAACAGATTGACAAATTGACAGCAGATCCAGGGCCCAGGCGGGCAGTCCACAGAGCCGGGTGACCAGAGGCCTTCTTGGCTTTACTTCTGGCTGCAGGCAGGGGCCCCGCACCCCAGGCCAAGAAAGGGCTGGGCAGTCGCAGACACAGACGGTTAGGAGAGCCCTTTGTGGGGGGTTGGCTAGGATGGCCAGCAGGAGGGTGTCCCAGGGCCCCCAAGCCTCAGCCCACGGGGGCGGATTGACCAAGGCCTCAGGAGAGGAGGAGGCTGAAGCAGTGGTTTAACAGCCGTAACCAAGTCAGACTCCCATCATGTGAGTCCTCAGACCAGCACGGGAGGCCCCAGGTGAACGGGACGGGGCTCCTGCCATAGAAGCTCAAACTAGTTCGTTTCTGGATTTCTAGATTTCCAGAGCAAGATTTGCTCAAGTTCTACTATTTCTGTATGCCACTGCAATTGCTTTTTACTAAACTGAATATGTGTAGATTATCTTTTAATTTAAGAAAGAATGTGTTTTTTAGGTTAATGGTTTTCTCTTTTGACTCTAGAAGAAGTTTAAAAAGTTTAAAACATATCCAGGGAGGTCCTTTCTGCCAATTTATAGGATAAAGAAGTTTTACTTTAAGCCAAAAATGATAGCTTAAGGAACTTCCAGTTCTACTGACAAAACCAGATTACTTGAAAACCCCCCAATAGAAACAGAAAGTTCTATGCAGACGACAAGCAGCAGCCCTTTAAATGTGTGGCCACGTGTGGTGTGGGGACAGGATGACCCCCCGTGTGTTCGGTGACAGCTCTCGGTCCAGGTGTCGCCTGCACATCGCTCCATCACGAAGGCACATTGTGCATCTGTAACCTCTGGACTGAGACTCTGAGTCTGTGAATAGCCTGTTTCTGCCCCTAGTTTATCCAGTGGTGGTCAGCATCCCCCGGTGGTTTTTTTTTCTATCACTCCTCCTCTGTTTGTTAGCAGGCATTCTTCGTAAACATCAGCTGAGACTCTTCAAAAGCGGTAACAGAGCCGGGCAGGAGTCCACTATCTGAATGAGCAAAGAGCTCCCACATGTAAAGGGCTGTTGGTCATGAGTGCAGGACGAGAAACTACAGGGCCCCTGGGAAAAGGGCAAACAGAGCAAAGCCGGCTGAGCCCCACCTGCAAAGTTCTGAAGTCAGAAACACCAGCAACATATAATAGGTCCACTAAGATGTGTAAGGATAAAGTCATAACCCGTGATAAATAAGAAACAGACAAAATATCTATGAGTAAAACGTAATGATAATAATTGAAACTAAGAACAATTCAATACAATTCATACAATAGAGGCAGGCTGAAAAGAATGGCATTGACTGTAGCCAGAGACAGAGCGAGGAAAGGCTAGGAGATTTGAGGACAGAAACTGAAGGTCAGACACAGAGCTGGCTGGAGTTCCAAGGAAAGAACAGAGAGAAAGGGAAGAAGGGCTAAGAACGCTCCAAATCTATGACACTTGTGATCCTGAAACCAAAAGTGTGCACGTTCCAAGAAAGATTAATAAAAACTTAACCAGCCTAGATATCATCCTATAAATCCATAAACAACAAAGAAAAAATACTCTTTTTAAAACTAGAGAAGAAAGGCATTCTTCTTAAAGAACTGAGAGCAAAATTCCCAATAACAGATAGAGGCCAGAAAACAATGGGATAATTAGGTTGACAATAAAAGGAGAGCAAAATGTATACCTGGCAACGCTATCTAAGAGCCGTGTGGATCCATCAGTAAGGGGACAGTATACCCATACATACTGGCTCCCCAAGTGGCTCAGTGATAAAGAACCTGCCTGCCAGTCCAAGAGATGTGGGTTCAATCCCAGGATCAGGAAGATCCCCTGAAGAAGGGAATGGCAACCTATTCCAGTATTCTTGCCTGGAAAATCCCACAGACACCCACAGACAGAGGAGATTGGCAGGCTACAGACTATGGGGTCACAAAGAGTCAGACACGACTGAGTGACTAACACTTCTCAGACTGGCTTGTTTTGCTTGGCATATTCACTGAAGCTTCCTCCATGTCCTTTCATGGCTTGACAGCTCATTTCTTTTTGGTGCTGAGTAACAATCCATTGTGTGGATGCACCATGGCTTATTTATCCATTCCCTATAAGGGCTTGGATTCCAGGTTTGAGCACTTGTGAATAGAGTGGCATGGATGTCTGTGTTTGGGTTCTGTATGGACACAAGCTTTCAACACATGCTCATGTGTCATCTGCATCTTTGGTGGGGTGTTGTTCAGATCTTTTACCCACTTTTTGATCCTGTTGTTTGTTTTCTTTCTGTTGTGCTTTAGGAGTTCCATGCATAGTTTGGATAACAGAACTTTATCAGATATGCCTTCTGAAAATATTCTCCCTAAGTCTGTGGCTTGTCTTTTGCTCTCTAACAATCATTGTATTTTAAGACAGAATATTCTATACAGGCTATGCCTTTAGTCCACCAAATCCAGCTGGGTGTAAATGGAAAAAATGAGCAAGATAAAAATATTGGCAGAAACACAAAACAACAAAATATGCTAATGCATGCTGTCATTAAAAAAATAGCTTCTATTCAAAAAATTAGGAATCCATTTGAACTCAAAAAATTGACATTGTTCTTTAGCAAGTCAGATTTTTCATGTATAGACATCCCAAGGTCATGGGGCACAGAGTAACAGAAAGCAGGTGTGGAAACAGAATCATACAATACTGTTTGATAGTCTGTTGCCTGCAACCATCTTTTGAAAATTATTTTTTAAAATTTCCCAATTTCTTCCTAATGAAGAAGATTGTTTGTTTTATATTTGGGGGAAAATGTGAAGAACCAGCTTTAAATAAAACATTCTGTTCTTTCCAATTCATACATTTTAAATAATGAAGTTTTTTAAAATGCTCAAGGTCCCACAGTTTTCACTTCTCTCACTTCTTAGGTTAACATTAAACAATAATGAATTTCCAACACATCTCTCCTGAGTTTCTCAGAGAATCTTAAATTATAAAAAGGAATGACTGTTCAAAGCTTTAGAAATGACACAACCACCCCTTTCTTTTATGTACCAGTGAAATAGTTTCACCGACAAAGATGTCTTCGGAGGAGATGAAAAATCTCCACCTGGAGGAGAAATACCTGCAACCGGAAACCAAGGAAGTGAATGGAATCCTCATGACCAAGATGATAAGTGATAACTGGGACAAAATCTGGAATTTTCAAGCCAAGCCTGATGACCTTCTCATTGCAACCTACGCAAAGGCAGGTAGGTTGAAGAAAGTTGAGGTTGGGGGCTTCAGCAGAGCCAGGATGCCTGGGGGTTCCTCAGATTTTAAAATTGTGGGTTTTCACCAGGGCCAGACCCTGGCTTCCCAGGTGGCACAAGTGGTAAAGAACCCGCCTGCCAATTCAGGCGACAAAGGAGATGTGGGTTCAGTCCCTGGGTCAGGAAGATTCCCTGAAGGAGGGCAGGGCAACCCACTCCAGTATTCTTGCCTGGAGAATCCCATGGACAGAAGAGCCTGGGGGCCTACAATCCAAGGGTTGCAGAGTTGGACACAACTAAAGTGACTTAGCACACAGTTCCTGGAAAAATGAAAATCACTCTTATTGATGCCCTCCAAACCCCCAGAGTCCACGAGCCTCCTTTTTATTTCAGTTCCTGATAAAGGAAGGGAAGGCCAGCCTCCCACAGAATCACATGAAAGCTCAGAGTCTGAGGAACAGCAGGAAGCTCCTAGGGGAAGCCTGTCCTCCTCCCCAGGCTCTCCTGCACGTGGAGATGGAGCTGGAACTGAGCGCTTTGCCCCAATGGGAAAAGCGCAAGTGATGTTAGTCCAAACCTGCATGAGTACAGAGGGAAGAAGTGGGGGGTGGGGTGGAATGACACTTACAGAATCCTACAAAAGGGAGAGAAGCTTGTAGGGAGAACCAGAAGGGAAGAAGCAGAGAGGCCAGGCTCTGCAGCTGGAGGAGCAGAGACCTCAGAACCCAGAGGGCTGGATGGAGGGTGAGATGGAAGCCCCTCAGTTATGTATGTATCATTCAAGCGGTAGGGCCAAGGAAGGTAGAGAATTTTTCAGCTGTAACCAGCCTTGGAAGGTCTCTCGGTGGCTAGTGGATGCTGCAAGAGGAGTCCGAGATGCTCAGAACCAGGAAGGTCACAGGGGGTGCCCCTGCCCCATAGTTCCTAACTGGCCATATCACCGTGCTTGTCTCTCCCCTGTGGGTCAGGATGCCTTCCCTAGCCTCACACTGCTCCTACCACACAACACTGCCAGCCAGGCCTGCTGGGAAAAGTAGATGGGGAAGGGGGGCTGCTCCTGCTTACTCCTATTGGAAGCTCTCGGTTTCTCAAAAGTCATCTTTGTCTGACTTGCATGTCTCTTGCTCAGATCCGAATTCAAATTGGCACTGCATCTCAGAGCAGAAATTTGCTCTCCCTTCATCTTGGAAATTATGCAGTCAACCCCCAGACTCTCCCAGAACTCTCTCTATAGCTGTGTTCCCCCACCTCCCCCACAATCTCTCAATCCCCACTATACCCACACCCCATCCCCCACCCCCGTGAGTCCTGCTTAAGCTTTCTAGCATGAGCATATGCCCACCTTAACCCTAGCTCCGAGGTTCCCTCCCTCCGATGCTCTGGCTTATTAACACAAGTGGACATTCTCCTCCCCCTCTGACTGTTCCTCTCCAGAAGACCAGCTCAAATGAGTCCACCTACCCATCCACAGAGGGCGCCCCTCCTCCCATGAACTCCCGGGGCCCTTTGTAGAGTCTTCACGGCTCTTACTGGAGACCTCTCAGTTATCTACATATTGTCTTACATATCAGTGAGAGCCAGGCCTAGCTAAGAGTCAGGTGCAATGAATGCCTTTGGTATGAAAAGGAAAATGGGCATGTGGTGGGTGGGGCACCCACACATCGGCATCAGTTAGGATTCAGTGTGGCTATATGTATCAGGAAACTCAAAAGTAAAAGCACTCTGGAGGTTAAAAGTCCAGGCCTGAAATGGTGGCTGCACTGATCCTTAGAAACCCTAGGTCTTTGAACTTTCTGCAGCTTTTGGTTTCACAACCCAATATGACTTCTAGAGCTCCAGCCATCACATGCATGTTCCAAACAGCAACAAGGAGGCAGGAAGAGGGGAATGAGGTCATGTTCCTGCCCTTTAAAGACAGCTTCCCAAAATACAATGGCATGGCCACCTTTAGCAGCAAGAAAGATTGAGAAAATAATCTTTTTATATAGCCTTTAGCTATGTGCTTGCATGCACACTAAGTGGTTTCAGTCATGTCCAACTCTTTGTGACCCCATGGACTGTAGCCTGCCGGCTCCTCTGTCCATGGGAGTCTCCAGGCAAGAATACTGGGGTAGGATGCCATGACAACCTCCAGGGGACCTTCCTGACCCAGGGATCAAACCTGTCTCTTGAGTCTCCTGTATTGGAAGGTGGTTTCTTTACCACTATCACCATCTGGGCAGCCCAACCTTTAGCTATATGCCCTGGTAAAAATTGAGGATGTATTAACTTGAGAAAGATGGGGAGAATGGATATTAACTAGGCTAGAAGCAGTCTTCGGCATATTGTATCTCCTCCAACAAGACTGGAAGCTTGTTGGGGCACAGATAGTATTTGCCTCAACTTTGTATCTCCTGACATTCCTTTGAGTCAATATGCTTTCTCTCAAGCTACACGTATTAGGTTCAAAACACCATGGCAGGTATGAGGTTTGAGGGACAGAGGGTCAAAAGCCCAGCCCCTACTCAGTGGAACTCTCAGTCTCACGAGAAGGCAGGTGTGGGGAAGACCTCGGCTGTGGGGACAGGGGCTCAGAGCAGAGGCCCATCCACCCTGGGAGTCACGCAGGTGCTCAACATAAGCAGAGGTAGGTTTTCCTGAATGTGGGAATAACTGATGTAGAATGGAGTTGCCTAGAGAGCAGGCAGAACTGAGGGTAAATAACTCTTCCAGGTACCACCTGGACCCAGGAGATCGTGGACATGATCCAGAATGACGGGGATCTGCAGAAGTGTCAGCGGGCCAACACCTTTGACCGGCACCCTTTCATTGAGTGGGCGCTCCCCCCGCCCCTCAGCTCAGGTATGTGCCGCCTGGGCCTATGGGGCTGTGCCCTCTGCTGGGAAGGAGTCTGAGGATGGTTCAGGTCAACACACCTCCATCAGCTGTGAGAAAAGATCCCTCAGTCCCTCTGTTGAAATACGGGAATGGGCAGCTTCAGACAGCACGTCTCCTGCGCTTTCTCAAGGACTCAAGAGCACACAGGACCATTCCACACAGAGGAGGCAGGGTTGAGGATGGCTGGCCTCCAGTGACCAGGGACCTCACCCCTGGGTCAGGTCTGCCCTCTCCAGGAGGACTGGCTTCTGCTGTTTTTCATCTCTGACCTGTCTGCCAGGGATCCAAGTTAAATTATACATAGTCCCTCTGTTATTAATATCAACAAATGATGCACTTCACACCAAAGATACTAAGAAATGTAGGAGAGAGCACCCTTGAAGAGCTGGCAACCAATTAGGAATGAAGGGTATGTTTTTTTAGATTTGTTTCTAATTGGAGCATAATTGCTTTACAATATTGTGTTTGTTTCTGCCATACATCAGCCTGAGTCAGCTATATGTATACGTATGTCCCCTCCTTCTTGAACCTCCCTCCCAGCCCTGCATCCCACCCCTCTGGGTCATCATGGAGCCTGGAGCTGAGTTCCCTGTGCTCTAAGCAGCTTCCCACTAGCTATCTGTTGTACACATGGTCGTGCATACATGTCAATGCTACTCTTTCACTTCATCCCATCCTCTCCTTCCCTCGCTGCGTTCACAACTCTGTAAGGGAGTGTTTTTATAGAGTAAATAGCAGCAAAGAGCAGCTTTGCGGTAGGACCCAACCTGATGGTGAAAAGAGACTTTGGACTCAAACAGTTCTGGTTTGGATTCTTGTCTAGACAACCTTCAGCACGTTATTAAACCTCTCAAACTCTAATCATCCCTAAAAATTTCTAAAAATACTGCCTGTTGAAAACCCATGATTGATTGAGCCAGTCATTCCAGCACCATCAGGCCAAAAAATTATCTTTACTCACATCAAATTGCCATGGCCCCTTCACAAATATTGAATTTTACCTTCTACGTATGGGCTTCCCTGGTGGCTCACGTGGTAAAGAATCCACCTGCAATACAGGAGACCCAGTGTCAATCTCTGGGTTGGGAAGATCTGCTGGAGAAGGGAATGACAACCCACTCCAGTATTCTTGCCTGGAGAATTTCATGGACAGAGAAGCCTGGCACGAGTTGCAAAAGAATGAGACAACTGAACAACTAACACACACACAATACGGGTGCATTCTGAATTTTCTGTTCTGCTTTGTCCCATTACGTGTCCCTCCTTGTGCCAATACCACACTGTTTGATGACTGTAGCTTTATATGAAGACATATAACTTGGTGACACTGGGCAGGCCACCAGCCTAGGATGTAATTTGCAACGTGGAGTCAGGTAGGGGGTACCGAGCACGTGGTGAGTATGACTCCAGACGCTGGCAAAACAACAGAGATGTGGATGAGAAGTGTTAGTTGAGCAGCAGCCTTGTTGCAGGTCTGGATCTCGCCAACAAGATGGCTTCTCCGAGGACTCTGAAGACGCACCTGCCTGTTCAGATGCTCCCACCTTCCTTCTGGAAACAGAACACAAAGGTAAGGACATCCAGGCTTGATCTGAATACTCACAGACTGTCTCCATGTAAGAGGAAACAGCCATGGACCTCAAAAGATAGGTGCCCAGTGCAGGTTCCAGATGGGCAGTAACCTGAGACCCCCTCCTGGTGACCACCACTCTACCCTGGATCTGTCTTTCTCCCAGAATATTCCTTCTGGGTACCAGTAGACTAGACTCCAGGCAGCGCCATCCTCATCAACTGTCAGCTGAGTCACGTTCAGACAGTGAGAGATCAGGCAGGGCGCCTGCTTCCTGGGGAGGTAGTCATATCAGTTTGAATCCTCTAGGAGCCAAGCCAGGGCTGAGTAAGGTGTGAAGGGGATTTATTTAGGGAAAACCCGTGAGGGGGTAGGGAGACCCCGGAGGGTGGGGGCCCAGGACCACATATGATGTCTGGAAATCATCCCCATCATGGATAAGCTCCCAGCAACAGCCATGACTCTGTCCTCTATTTTTAAATTTTTGTTTTAGCAAATTCAGACCCCAGAAATGCACTAGTACACTGAATGTACTAGTGTTTTGTTTTGTTTTTGATGTCAGCTTCATCAGTGAGTCTAGAAGTCAATGAAATACAGAATATACCCCAAATATCAGCTTAGAGGTTTGCAAAGAAAAGTGCAACAAACATTTGCAGAGTTAAATGCTTGCCTTGGCTGGACTGTCCATCTTCCTGTGGGAAGGCTACTTTGCAGACCCAACCACAGACCCTTCCATGCTCTGGGCTGAGCCCTTTCCAGGGGAGCTACACAGTCAAGGCTGTTTAGTCAAGACACTCTGTACTTAGTGCAGAGCTCGGAGATGCAGTGTGAGTGGCTGCTTTTGAGTTTCTCTGCTCTGGTTTCCATGGCACTCCATCACCTCATCTCATCCATCTCCCATCAGAGGTGTCATAGGTTTCCATATATCAAATGCCATCACCCTATTTTCTACCCTGACCATCACCCAGGTCACCATGACTTTGAAAATATCTTGATTTATCCCCACAGACACTTAACATAATTTTGCTGCTCTAGAACTCATATTATTTCCAAATGATGTTTTTAGACTCAAAGTCAGAAGACCCCTTAGCATGTGTTTTGTCATCAGATTAACAGCTTCTTTTTGAAACCAGGCCTTCTAAAATGTCAAAATTTCCATGACAGCACATTCTTTTATCTGCTGAGAGCTGTGGATTGTTTGAGTAGGAGAAGGTGTGAGCAAGCTTAGTCTGAGATTTTCCTGTTACGATGGGGCAGTGAGCTAAATGGAGTTCCCCAAAGACTCCTGCATCCTAGCCCCTCCCAAACCCCACAAATGTACCTCACCTGTAGAGTGCACTTGGCAGGTGTGATTAAGTTGAGCATCTTGAGACCAAAGATCCTCTGGTTACCTGGACAGCCCTGAGCATCGTCACAAGGATCCTGATGAGAAGGAGGCGAGAAGGTGGAAAGACAACGTGAAGGATGTGACACCTGATGCAGAAATGGGGGCGATTTCAGGGCAGAGTCCAGGCCGAGGCACACAGATGGCCTCAGGTTCCAGGAACTTCAGGGAAGTTCGTCCCCTGCCCTGGAACCAGCCCCATGGCCAACTGGAGTCCATTCCAGTGACCCCGAGCTCCAGACTGTAAGAGAACCAACTTCGTGCTGTTTTAAGGCTCTCCACCTGGGGCAATTTGTCACATCAACAGCCAGAGACTCACACAGATAGATGGCAGACTCAGAACATGCGAGCATGTGGCCTTCGCTCCCACTTGGACATCTGACTCCAGGCCAGAGGCATTTCAGCAGGTCCCCATCCAGCCAGGGCTTCCCCCATTCTGATTACTCAGCTTCAATTTGCAAAAAAAAAAAAAAAAGTGATAACCAACATAAGCATTGAGAAATGTGTTTACTTGATCCTAAGACCTTGCTGCTGGGCATCCCTTTGGATTTTCTGAGAACGTTGGTGGACACTGGAGGGCTGTCCAGTGGGAGGAAAGAGGCAAAGGGCAGTGTCCCTGCAGTGCTGGGCTCACAGGAGGAGCCAAGGCCAAAAGACCTGTGCTAATTTGATCAGATGGAAACAGCTCCCCCTACCCCCCACCCAGGGTGCTGGTCTGCTGAGTACGCAAAACACAGGGAACACGCTTGAGAAACCATCCATGGACTCCTCCCCCAGAGCCCCTGCCTACTTCGTGTCTCTACTTCTACATCTGACAGTTGACCCCACATGCAAAGAAATGAAAGAGGATCACTCTCTCACACCACACAAAAATTAACTAAAGATGGATCAAATATCTGAATGGAAGACCTGGAAGCACAAGACCCCTAGAAAAGAATACAGGTAGTACACTCTTTGATATCAGTCTCAACAATGATTTTCTTGGATTTGACATCAAAAGCAAAAATAAACAAGTGAGACTACATCAAACTAAAAAGCTTCTGCACAACGAAGGAAACAACCAACATAAGAAAAAGGCAACCTAATGGGAGGAAATACTTGCAAATCCTATATCTGACAAGGGGTTAATATACAAAGTATATGGAGAACTCACTCAACTCAGAAGGAAAAAAAAAAACAAGCAATTTGTGGTTCTATCAAAATTGTAAACATACCTTCCTGTGTCCTGCAATTCACAGGGCAGACTTGGTCACAAAATTTTCCAAAACACCTTCCCCAAAAAAAAGGCCTTTACAGCCCAGGGCAGCCTGGGTGGCGGGGTAGGAGGAAGGGTGGTGGGACAAGCCTCAGAAGCAGCTCTGCCTCTCCCAGGAGGGGACAGGTCACCAGCAGCTCCAGTGGTACTGGGGTCCCGTGATCTTATCAGGGATGATGGTCACTGTGAGGAGGCAATTCCTTGGGTGGTCAGAAGGCAGAGGCAGCCCCACCCTACAACTAGGGTAGACACCCTGCTCAGGTACAGCCCACGGGACCTTCCTCTCCCCACCTGAGTAACACCTCGTGGCCTCCCCAGTCCTGGAAATAGCAGAGGGAGGGTGACTGCAGCACTTGTCATGCTGAGCAGGACACCTGAGAGAAAGGGCGTGCCGTCACCGACTCTGCTTAGACCACAGCTGTAATCAGAACTGTGCCGGGCAAACTGGAGAGGGTCACAGAAAACATAGGTCTAGTCACTCAGACAGGATGGTCCAAGACAGCAGTCCCCAGCCTTTCTGGAACCAGGGACCGATCTCATGGAAGACAATTTTTCCATGGACCAGGGTGGGGAGCGGGGACGATGGTTTGGGGATGATTCAAGCACATTACATTTTTGTGCACCTTATTTCTTATCCAATGCTACTGATTTAACAGGAGATGTCAGTCTAAGGACCTGAGGTTGGGGAAAGTGAAAGTGTTAGTCTCTCAGTTGTGTCCAGCTCTTTGAGACTCTATGGACTGTATCCCCCAGGTTCCTCTGTCCATGGGAGTCTCCAGGCAAGAATACTGGGGTGGGTATTCATTCCCTTCTCCAGAGGCTGTTTCTGACCCAGGGACTGAACCTGAGTCTCCCACATCTCAGGCAGATTCTTTACCATCTGAGCCACCAGGGAAGCCCCAAGAATATTGGAATGGGTAGCCATTCCCTTTTCCAAGGAATCTTCCCAACCCAGGGTCCATCTAACAGCACGGGCTAAGGTCGAAGGTCTAAGGTCCTTCAAACAACATGGGCTCTTCCTGAACAGTAACCTTTCCTGTCTTGTTTTCTGTGTCCATCCCTTTCCTGGCTAATTTCAGATCATCTATGTGGCCAGGAACGCCAAGGACTGCCTGGTATCCTACTACCACTTCTCAAGAATGAATAAGATGGTGCCAGACCCTGGCTCCTGGGAGGAGTATGTTGAGACCTTCAAAGCTGGGAAAGGTGAGCGAAAGGAAATTGAGGTCCACACCTCTGTTTTCAATCGCCCACATATCAGAGGGGCATGGCTTCTGCTGAGTGACTGGGCTGCTCGAGGTTCTGGGAGGACACAGGTGTCACCCAGACAGGGTTACTGTTCAGGGTCACTGTCCAGAGGTCACAATAAATGCTACTTAGAACACTGTGGGTAGAGGGTAACAAACTCACAGGTGATGGTGCAGGATCCAGGGGCATGGCCGGGTGCTGAGGCAGTTCCTAGGGAGACAGTCAGCCACAGGGAGTTGCAGGGAAAGAATCGCCCTGCACACACCCCTGGCCCCGGGTGGGGCCCAGAAGACTGAGGATCCAGTGACACTGACCACAGGGTCAACCTCGCAGCGGGAGGAGGGTGGGGGTGGCTTGGGGGCTAGGGGAGGACACTGTGCACCCCCTTCCCCCCATTCTCCATCACAGACAGTAGTAAAGGGGCCCAAACATCTGGTCACTGGGATTCTTCAGAATGAATTCACAGCTTCTCTTCACAGTCAGCCTGTGGTGGTGTTCAGTCGCTCAGTCGTGTCCGACTCTGCAATCCCATGAACTACAGCACACCAGGCTTCCCTGTCCTTCACCATCCCACAGAGTTTGTTCAAATTCATGTCCATTCAGCTGGTGATGCCATCCAACCGTCTTATCCTCTGTCACCGTCTTCTCCTCCTGACCTAAATCTATCCAAGAGTCAGGGTCTTTTCCAGTGAGTCAGCTCTTTGCATCGTGTGGCCAAAGTATTGGAGCTTCAGGTTCAGCATCAGTCCTTGCAACAAATATTCAGAATTGACTTCCTTTAGAATTGATAGGTTTGATCCCTTTGCAGTCCAAGGGACTCTCAAGAGTCTTCTCCAACACCACAGTTGGAAAGCATCAATTCTTCGTCCCTCAATCTTCTTTATGGTCTAACTCTCACATCTGTACATGACCACTGGAAAAGCCATAGCTTGGACTATATGGGCCTTTGTTCCCTTAATCAGCATGTTGGGGACCAGAATTTATCTCAAAACACTGGTCTGGCCCCATGCAGCGATGTAAGGGGAACACAGACCTGCCTCCTGCCCTTGGGACAGTTTCTCATAGGGGAACAAATTCGAGGGTGGGAACAGAAGCCACGGGATCCAGGGTACTTTTAATCAACTCCCTAAAAAAAAAAAAAAAATCCCTGTCTCTGCAAATAAGAATTCTAGTTGTGTTTTTCAAATGTCCTCTTTTATTAGAGATGCCAGTGCTCATTTCAGAAGCTTCAAGTTAATACTGACACCCCCTCCTTTCTCCCTCCCATCAGTGCTATGGGGCTCCTGGTACGACCACGTGAAGGGCTGGTGGCACGCCAAGGACCAGCATCGCATCCTCTACCTCTTCTATGAGGACATGAAGGAGGTGAGGACCATACGACCACTGCTGCTTCCCGCTGTGTCCTTGAGGGATCAAACTATAGTCACACCTGCACGCATACTGCCCACACCAGGCCTCTCTTCCTGATGCCCTGTCCAACTCAGCTTTATCCTCAAACAATGCAACTACTTTTGTTCTTCATTTTTTCTCTCTCGTTTTCTTTTTTCTTTCTCTAATCTTTATTTTTTCCTTAATGTATTTATTTTACTGAAGTATAGTTGACTGACAATGTTTCAAGTGCACATCAAGGTGATTCAGTTATACATATACACATATATTATTTTCAGATTATTTTCCATTATAGGTTATGACAAGATATTGACTATAGTTCCCTGTGCTATATAGTAAATCTTTGTTGCTCATTGCATCTGTATTTTTTAATTAGAAATCTAGCATTCTATTCATAATAAGTCAAACAAGTGGAATCAAAATGTCATTTATCTTTTCTTTAAAAATCTTCCAACTTTGCTTCTGTTCACAATTTTCAGATGATCCTCCACTTAGGAAATCTCACGCACTTTTACAGTCTGATTAATCCTGCCACTCACAAACCATGTTTCTTTGCCTACAAAATGCAAATCAGCTCTTTTTGTGTCTCAGGATATTCCCGGGAAGATTTAGAAGCTGACTTGTAAAGCTCCTGGCATCCACACCCCAAACCCACTCCACACACGGAAGTTTAGTCCACACAGACGCTGGCAGGACTGGTCCCACGTGGTCCCACTCATCAAGTGTCCAGGGCATCACACGGTCACTCTTGAACCCAGGGATCAGTGCCCTAGAATTACAAAACCACCCCTGGACCTGTGCTGAAAGGTTCTCTAGAATCTGGTCAGATGCCAAAGGTCCTTCTCTGAATGTCTGTGATCAGAAAGAACAGACCACAAGGGCTTTTGTTTCTGGGTCAGTGTGAGGTCCCCTGATTCTGCCTCTGACAGACCTTGTGTTTAACTTGCTGAGCCATCTCTGGTCCTAGAGTCACTCCCCTCTTTCTGTGCCTCTGCATCTCCTCCTCCAGGGGACATGCTCCCTGCCCTGAAGCCCGTGCTCCCCCTGCATGCGTGCATGCAGGCAGCATGCTTCCAGACAGGCGTTGCAGGGCTGTGCTCATGTTTCTCCCCTCTCCTTCTCGGTCAGCCTCCCTGGGGCTAGGAGAGCCCTCATGTCTAAGTCCTTCCTCCCCAGGACCATCCAGCGCCATCCACAGTCATTCTCCCAAGGAAGACACATTGACTGTAATTGAGCTGCTCCCTTAAGCCGTCCCTTCCCAAGCACAGTTCATCTAACAGAACATCACGCCTTCATGGAAAACCCCTAACTACTTGGCTTTTTGTGACTGTTCCACATACAGGATCCAAAGCGGGAAATTCGGAAGATCCTGAAGTTCCTGGAGAAAGAGGTGTCGGAGGAAGTTCTGGACAAAATCATCCATCACACGTCCTTTGAGGTCATGAAGGAGAACCCAATGGCCAACTACACCACACTGCCCACCAGCATCATGGACCACTCCATCTCCCCCTTCATGAGGCGAGGTACACAAGGGAGGGATGGAGAGAGGGAGTGAGGGAGGCCCACGTGCTCAGAGGTTGGACAGGACCCCAGCTCCTTCCTGTTTCCCGGTCATGCTTCCGGCTCCCGCACCTGTGCTGTTGGCGACACTCCCAACAGTGTCCGAGGAGCAGACCCCATGATCCGCTCTGTGCCAGCCCCTGCATGCATCCTTACCCACCCCTCTCCCCGGAATCACTGAGGTTTCGCCTCCTTGCAGGAATGCCTGGGGACTGGAAGAACTACTTCACTGTGGCTCAGAATGAGGACTTCGACAAGGACTACGAGAGGAAGATGGCTGGGAGCACCCTGACCTTCCGCACGGCCCTCTGAGTCTCGGGGCCCAGCGAGGCCTCCTCACTGACTTTAGACATGTGAGCCTCACCATCAGGATGCCGAAAACAATGACTCCCTCCCTTTCATCCTGAGCTTTGCACACTGTCTGTAGAACCCATGTCCCAAGATACTCAAAATACAATCAAACCCTGAGTAGAAAGAAGTTTAAAGTTAAATCGCTTGGTGGTTCACAGAGGCCCAGCCATGTGAGGAGCTGGAGCAAAGTGAACGCACGACTTAATCCCAACTTTAGAGCACAGCACCTGGTGAGCTTCCCGGGGTCAAGGCTGGAGGAAAGAGAGAAAAGGGTCAGCCCAGACTTTCAACACAAGAGAGATGCAAAGAGATGTGGAGAGGGCCCTGGAGAATGCAAGAGGGACCAGGTCTTATCCCCTGAGGTCCAGAGCGAGAGACTGAGAGGGCCTCACTCACAGAGACTCCAGGCCTCGAGGCTCAGGGCCTGGAGGGGTGGGGAAAGCGGGGTCTGAGGCTCAGACTGAGACACGGATGGTCTGAAGTCCAGGGACCAAACCATAGGATCTTGGGGCAAATATAGGCCAGAAAGCCAACAAGGTTTTACTAATATATTCTAGGTAGATTTCTTGGAGAGAGAGGAAAGAAGCCCCAAATTAGCCCAAGAGAAATGAAATAGAAGAGAACAGCCAGCACCACGGGCACCTACCTCCAGGACAAGGTGACCGTCCTGATTCTGGAGGAATCAGCACCATGTTATTCTTTGTAGACAGATGCTCTTAGAATTCAGAGAAGGCAATGGCAACCCACTCCAGTACTCTTGCCTGGAAAATCACATGGGTGGAAGAGCCTGGTGGACTGCAGTCCATGGGATCTCTAGGAGTCGGACACAACTGAGCGACTTCACTTTCACTTTTCACTTTCATGAATTGAGGAAGGAAATGGCAACCCACTCCAGTATTCTTGCCTGGAGAATCCGAGGGACAGGGTTGCCTGGTGGGCTGCCGTCTATGGGGTCACCCAGAGTCAGACACGACTGAAGCGATTTAGCAGCAGCTCTTAGAACTGTCGGGTCCGCTGAGTCGTTTAGTTTCATGTGTCCTGATTCTCTTTGTTACAGCCTGCTCAAGGAAGCGTCCGCCCTCACTCACACAAGTTGTACTAAGGTCAGTGCTTTGTTTTAAAAGAGTCAGGAAATAGATGACTAATGAGAACCTACTCTACAGCTCAGGGAGCTCTACTCGATACTCCGTAATGGCCTATATGGGAATAGAATCTAAAAAGAGTGGATATATTCACTTTGCTTTGCACCTGAAACTTACCCAACATTGCAAATCAACTAGACCTCAATAAATTTCTTTTTAAAAAATAGATGTGTCAAAAAACAAGTAAAGAAAAGAAAGAAAGTTGGGGAGTTTCCCTCTGTAGGCGTGCCACTTTCCTGTCAGGTACAGAGAGCCACCTCCTCCTCCAAGGACCTAAGTCAACCCTGTCTGCAGCCTGTGGTCTTTCACCTTCTAAGCAAGCATGCAAATCATTAACCACAGGACAGATAATCCTGTGTGTGTGTGTGCCTGCTCCCTGACACGTGGCCTCTCAGGTGAAACCACAGGGAACCCACTCCCCGTGGGGCAGAGGGAGGGGACTCAGCTGGTGGGGGTCCCAGGATAGCACGTCCCCTACTCAGGACAAGTCCTGCTGTGATGGGGGGAGGGGCACAGACTCGGGTTAGGTCTGAGCCGAGGGACTGAGATACAGCCCCTAGAGAAGATGGAGATGAATGCCCCATGCCATGAGAATTCACACTGAGGTTTGCTGAGCCCCTCAACCCCCAGAAGCATGTTTAGTTTTCTGAAGATGTTCCTTTATAAACAGCCTTGTGGCATTCAGGTTGGTATGCAGTTATGTCTATGAAAGTGTTAGCTTCTCAGTCATGTCCGACTCTTTACAACCTCACGGACTACACCCCCACCAGACTCCTCTGTCCATGGGATTCTCTAGGTAAGAATATTGGACTGAGTTGCCAAGCCCTCCTCCAGGGGATCTTCCCAATGCAGGGTTTGAAGCCACTTGTTCTGTGTCTCCTGTATTGGAGGGCAGGTTCTTTACCAATGAACCACCTGGGAAAACAGTTTTCTCTACATGGATCTAAAATTGAAAAAACCACTTTGAAATCATGAAGCAATCTGAACAATCTTCACACAGGAAGGCTGTCCACTTCCAGTGAGAGGCCTTGGACGTCAGCATTGTTTCTGGAAATCATGACCAGTGTGCCAGCCGTCAGCAGGGCTGAGTCCCTCCATATCTCCAATGATCAGGCAGGGCCTGTCTCTGCTTCTCCTGCAAGCTTACAAGAGCAGGTGCCACCGTCAACTAGTCCCCAGGCATTGCTTTTCTGTTCTCCACAGGTGAATTCCACCAAACATTTATTTTGCTTACCTTTTTATTCTATATTGGAGTTGATTAATGGGGCTTCTCAAGTGGTGCTAGTGGTAAAGAACCCACCTGCCAATGCAGGAGACATAAGAGACACAGGTTCGATCCCTGGGTCAGGAAGATCCCCTGGAGGTAGGCACAGCAACCCACTCCAGTATTCTTGCCTGGAGAATCCTCTGGACGGAGGCACTACAGTCCATAGGGTCGCAAAGAGTCAGATACGACTGAGCAAGTGACCATGCATGTACATGTGATTAATACATTAATATGTTGATTAATACATTTCTTTTTGAGACACTGGGCTTCTTTGTAAGGAGGAGACTAAAGACTATAGGCAGCCAACCTGTCTAAGCTTCCTGCACCTGGAGGCTATAGATCTGGAATTCAATGCGAATACACACTCCACTTGCTTCCAAAACTCTAAATGCCACCTCTGTGGATCACTCCTGTGCCCCCAACCTTCTCCAGGGCTGTTGTGTTTCCAGCTTCTAGGGAGACAGTCCCACTGTCCGACCTCTGGCCTAAGTCCATCTCACCTCGTCCCCACCCCATCCATCTACTGCTCCTCAGGTCCACCTCTGTTCATGGAAACATGGCTTTCCTGGGCATTTTTCTCCTTGATCTCCCACAACTTATATACTCTGATGTTCAGTTCAGTTCAATCTCTCGGTTGTGTCCAACTCTTCGTGAACCCCTGGACTGATGAACACCAGGCTTTCCGTCCATCACCAACTCCAGAGCTTGCTCAAACTGATGTTATGATATAAAATTAATACTTAATATGATGAAAAGTCAGTGAATCGTATGTTACATGATAAAGGACACAAGAGGGGAGGAAATAAAGATATTTGTATGTAAACACACACATAACACAATAAGGAGGAACTCATCTGCTGACCACATCCCTTGTCTCTGTAATTGCCTCTCCCACCACCTGCTCCGATGCCCCTTTGCCCCCGGCAAGCAGCTCAATGCTATGATTCTGACCTGGGACCTCAGGGTTCCTTGCTGAAGGGTCTGGACCATGAGCTGTCCTCCTGGGAGGGGTTGCTATTGTTTTCCATTGACCTTGAGCATGGGGCATGGTGACACGGAGACACCCCACAGGGCCTCATGGATCCAGACTCCCCCTTCCTCACTTTCCATGGATGGATGGATGGACAGATGACTGACAGATGGGTACATGAATGGATGGATGGATGGACAGATGGGTGGATGGTTGGATGATAGATGGGTGCAAGAATGAATGGATGGATGATGAATAGTTGGATGGAGAGATGATGGACAGATGGGTGGGTGGATGAATGATAGATGGACAGATGATGGATGGATGAATGGACAGATGAATGATAGGTGCATGAATGGATGGATGGGTGAGTGGATGAATGATAGATGAGCAGATGATTGATGGATGGATGAGTGGATGGATGGATGATAGATGGATGGGTGGATGGATGGGTGGGTGGATGGATGGTAGATGAACAGATGATTGATGGATGGATGGAAGGATGGATGGGTGGATAGATGATAGATGGGCACATGAATGGCTGAAGGATGGATGGATGATAGACTGATGTCTACTACAGAATCTACTATAAAATCTCAGTACCTCTTTTTGTTCTCTCTCCTTTGTTTCTGAGGGTCTCTCATCTTTGTACAGAATCTCCAGCTTTCTCTGCCACCCCCCGAGCACTTGGCATCTTTCTAAAACCTTATAGAGATTCCAGGAGCAAGTATTCAAGCTAACAGTCATCTCCAGTGGCCCCTTAGGTCTCCCGACAAGTGGAGAGAAGGCTCGTCCTCTTGCTGTGGCCTGGTGTCCACAGAATTGTGCTCTCAGTCCCACCCCCCCGCACTGGAGACAAGGCACCTAGTGCTGCTGGTCCCCAGAGGATAGAAGCCCAGCTCTGGACCAGGTGTGTCAGTGCTATCGAGAGTAAACACTGAGTCAGAGCCCTGATGGGAGGAGGCCAGTCCTTGGACAAGGAAGCTGTGTCAGGCCCAGGCAGCCGCAGTGCTGAGCGTGGGGCCACGTGCCTTGAGGAGAGGTCCAAGGTGACTGGACCTCCTGCTGCCATCCTCAGCTGAGCTCAGAAGGCCTGCAGGGCGCTCAAGCCTCCCTCTGCCAAATCAGGACCCAGTCCCCAGTCTGCTCACCTGGAGACGCAAACTGTGAGTAATAAAAACGTAGAGAGGATGGACTTGTGACTCTTTCTTCAGTTAGTCCTTCAGATGAAATGGATTAAAACATTGAAAACAAAATGGTATTAATTTGGAAGGGGGTGGGATTGTTAGCCCTTAAAAAGCAAGAACATATTTAGATGATCCTGACTAATGACAGATTTTTTTTAAACTTATTTTCTAGATGTGTTCATATATAATTAGTATGTTACATGGTGTAAGTTTAAGGTATAGAAGGTGTCCATTTGACACAAGTACACATCACAAGTCAAATGGACATGGGTTTGATCCCTGGGTGGGGAAGAGCCCCTGGAGGAGGGCGTGGCAACCCACTCCAGTATTCTTGCCTGGGAACCCCATGGACAGAGAAGCCTGGCAGGCTACAGTCCACGGGGTTGCAAAGAGTC